ACCCGAAACGTCAGCTTTCCTGCTCCTCTGATGCTGCCTGGCCTGCTGTGTTCCTCCAGCTCCACAATGTGTTATCACTTAATCTTTTGTTGAGCAAAGGTATTATCTATCTCCAACTTAAAATGAGCAACTAGTTCAGCCATTTCCAGAAGTGCTTCCTAACATCTCTGGTTGAAATTCTGAAAATTTGGTCCTATGTCCCCATGGTTCTAGAGTTCCCAAACAGTGGAAATAGTTTGTCTTTATCCATCTTGTCTTTTCCTGTTAATACCTTGATGACTTTACCAGATCACTCCTTTAACCCTCTGAATTCTAGAGAAAATAGGCCTAATTGTATAAGCTCTCCTCATAATTTAACCCTTGAATACAGGTATCATTCTTGAAAATTTATATTATACTTTCTTCAGGGCCAGTATGTCCTCCTTAAGGTGTGGTGCCCAGACCTACTCTCAGGACTCAAAGTGGGGGGTAACCAGGGTTTTGTATAAACAAAGCATAATTTCTGCATACTTGTACTCCAGTCCTCTAGATATAAAGGCCAACATTATTTTGTTTTATTCAACCTATTTTTCCTCATCAGCCTGTTCAGAGATGTTTTTACATACCTCTGGAGCAGGTGGGATTTGAACCTGAGCCTCCCAATCCAGGGGTAGGGACACTACCTCTGCACTACAAGAGGGCTGACCAGCGTACTTTTTATTTAAATTTAACCTATTTTTCTAATCAACCTGTTTAGAGCTGTTATTACACATCTCTGGAGCAGGTAGGCCTTGAATCTGGGCCTCCTGGTCCATGGGTAGGGTCACTACCAATGTGCCATGCGAGGGCCCGCCAGCATTCTGTTACTTTCTTTGATTATTTTCTACACCTGTTTGTTACACCATTTTAAATATCTATTGTTCTGAACCCCAAGCCTCTGGACATCCACTTTATTGAATATACCATCTAGAAAATACCCTGATCTATCCTTTTATTGATCCAAGATAGATAACCCTACACTTGGTTACATTGAACTCCAGCTTGCTAAAGTTACTAACCTTGAGCTATTTTAACATGGTGTCCACTGGAAAAGCAGTTGGGCGTAGCTAATTGAAGCAGCAGCTGAAACCAGTTCCCCAAAAGAGTCGGATGAGTCTGTTATATTACAAGCATGTAAAACTAGCCAACTTAAAATAGTGTGGTGGGAGTTGGGCGTTTATAAGGAAGGAAAGGAGGTGGTCCTTTTGCTTTCACTAACTATTTCACCCTCAAAGAATTAGTTGCTATTCTATAAAAGAGAAAAAGCAAATTATTTGCTGATTATGTGGTAGGTGACTGAGGTTTATTCTGTTTCTAAGGTACAAAATATTATAGAAATATGGTAAGGTTTATAAATATGTAAAAACAAAATTAAGGAGCAGATTAGAATACATTAAGGATGGTGGTGATGTGGCACAGCCTCAGGGATTCCTGAATGCCTGTTCGATTCAAGACAAACACATTTGCTATAAGTGAAGTTTGATCGGCTTCCGCTTGGGAGTGGAGCTGGAGGCTGAACTGCAGGGTCTACTTGGATTCTGTGCACCAGGAGAGTCATACCTCTTGGGTTAAGGCCTCCTAATAGTTAGAATAGTTAGAGATAGTTAGAATAGTGAACTGTAACAAGAAGGACAAGAAGAAATAGGTTAAGTGAGTGGGCAGAGATCTGACAAATGGAATATAATGTGGAAAATGTGAAACTACCCATTTTGGCAAGAAGAATTAAAAACAAAATTCAAATGGTGAGAAATTGCAGAATTCTGATGCAGAGGGATCTGGTTGTCCCAGTGCTGAATTGCACAAGGCTAATTTGCAAGTACAGCAAATAATTAGGAAGATTAATAAAAAATGTTATTTTTGTAAGAGGAATTAAATTCAAAAATAGGGAGGCCGTGCTCCAAGGTACTGAATGTAAATGCCTTGAAATGGTTCTGAGAATGTTAACCAGTCTAACTCGGAATGGCGGGCTTATCTTGATAGGAAACATTGGACAGGTTAGGTTTGTATCTGCTGGAGTTTAGAAGAGTGAGAGGCTACTTGATTGAAACATATATGAGGGGTCTTGATGGCTTAGATCTGGAAAAGATGTTTCCTGTTTTGAGGGAATGTTACTAGGATCCCTGTTTAAAAGGAAGAGGTTGTGCATTTAAAATTCTGCATTCCAAGAAAACGTCTTGTACAAAAAAAGGGCAATTGGTTGCCTGATTTCTTGTTTCAAAATGATACGGTCCTGAAAACAAGACTCGATTCCAGTATGAGTGATGTTGGCAAGAATGCCATTTGTTTTGTATACTAATTTGCCTTTAAGGTTTTGGTCAGCATTTTTATTAAGCTAGCTCAGTATAAAAAATTGTTCTTTCATAATTAGATTTCTTGTATCTCAACTATATGATTTTGATATTGTCAGAATAGAATTATCAATATTTTTGTACATTCTTGTGTTAAGTTTCAACCAGATAGTTAATTAGCACTTGGTTTTGTTTATCATGCATGTAGTTACAATATACTGTAATAATGTCAGTACAGTGTGGCTCGTGGTTATTACTGTAGTTGTCATAGCTTCACAGTTCTCAAATTTCATGTACCCTGTATTCCAGTGAAACACAATGGCAGTTTTTGTCACCACTTCTTTAGTCTGTATTTTAAATATAAATCTGTATTTGTTTGCAGGTTACAGGAGAGGAATTGGATAAACTTATAGATCTTCATGATGAGGTGTATGCACAAGCTTGCAAATGGTTTCAAAACTTGAAGAGTAGGTTCCATAGTCAAATCCTTCAGCACTTTGGTCCAATTCCAGAGAGAGAGAGAGATTTACAGGTATTGCATCTCTCAATTGTTTTTTTTTAGGGTGGTTGCCATGGTGAATAATATTGCACTTTGGTACTATCAACCTTATTTGAAATTAGTAAGCCACCGTGTGGGTGTCTGAAATTCTTTTCACACTGATACAAGTCATGGTAAAAATAGTACCAACTGTTTTGCACCATGACACTATACAAGTGATGGAAAACACATGAGCTAAGCAGGGTGGGAAAGTCTTGAGTTACAAAGGGCAAAGTAAAGATGTAACCTTAAGGAGATGTTTGAAGGTGTAGTACAGATGAAGCAAGATGGAGGAGTTTGGAAAGAAAAATCCTAGGTGCCAAGTCTGTGATAACTAATAGCGATGAATTTAGTGGGAGAGGGAGGGAAATACACAATACTCCAGAGTAATGGATGATGCAAGTTAAATTTCTAACGGATTTAAAAATTTGTAGTCATGATGCTTTAAGTAGTGTTAGCATAAGTTTATTTTAAATACATGGTCTTTAATTTTTGGAAATACTGGGACCTTTTGTAAGCCTTTGTCTTTAAATTTAACACTTAGGGGTTTGAAAAACCATACAATGCAATAATATCCATTAATCATCACCAAAACTATAATTTGGCCATTTATCTTGCTGTTTCAGGGGACCTTATTGTGAAAATTTACTGTTGCATTATCTTATAATACTTACCTCGCTTTGAAGTTACTTATTTGGCTGTAAAACATTATAGAATGTCTGGTGATTTTGAAAACAAATGCTTTTCCCTAAACAATATTTGTGTATGTAGGACCCCCCAAATGGGCCTGCTTGGTGTTGGTGGCTTCTTGCTGTTCTTCCTGTGGATCCCAAGTATCAGCTTTCTGTGTTGTCTATGACATCCTTGAAGGACCGCTTAATCAAAATTCAGAAGATTTTGACATACTTCTCCAATGCAAGAGATCAATCCAAGTGACAATCAGCTGGGACTTGCTTCAAGGATCATAAAATCCTCTTTCTAACTGTGGTTGGATTGTTTGCTGTTCTTTTCATATGCAGTGCTGATTTCAGTAAGATGCAAATAGCTGATGTAGTCTTGAAAAGAATTGCAAAATATGCTGTTAACAGAAAACTGACCTTATTTATTTCCTCCCAAGAAAGGTTTGTGACAGACGAACCACTACTCCATTTCTATGAAATTTTGAACAGACAGAAATTCCATGTTTTTTTTTATACTTAGTTTTGAAATTATACTGATTTACTTGAACTAGCAGTACTAGATGCAGAGTTCAAAGCACAATAGATGTGTTCTGGTCCTTGAGCAATATAATTACTAGAAATTTGGAAACTTCCATCTGATTACCACAAATAATTTGAGTTTGCCATTACCTATCCTGAATTGGCAAAATATTGCTATGGTATGGGTGCTGGCAACCCTGCGACCCATAGTGAGAAACTGACATGTTGCAAGTTAGTTATTTGACCCTGGCATAGCTGTGCATCATGTGCCCTCACTTGTTGGCAGTATACACACACTTTACAGCAAGAGCAACTAGATAGCCGACGAGCAGTTTTCACTTTCCTCAGCACGTCACAATTTTACATGGTCAAAACTGACCAACTCTACACAAAACCAATTATCAAAACTGGGACTTTCTAGTACGTGTGACTTATTATCACGTCAGACATATGTCACATACAATTCTGAGGCAAGATTCTCCAATTCTGTGAAACGGTATAACTGTGCTGTGCACTAATTGCATACCATAAGAAAATTATTATCCTAATAAATTAGAGGCCAACCTTAATACAGTTTGTGTTTTTAGACTTGAAATTATTGGCTCAAATACAGATTACATTTTGCTAATCAGTCTGAGCAATAAATTATGAACAGTCTGTTTTTGTTTTAAAAAGCAAAAATCCTTGCATTTAGTGTTGTAATAGTTTGTATCTTTGCTCCAATGACTTGTATTTTCTTTGCAATTATGTGCTGGCATTGTGTGATTATGCCAGGCATTGCCTTTCTGATCTGTAAATTTGTAAAAGGTTTCTACAAAATTTTAGCTATGAACTGTATATTTATTTTTTGAATAAACTAAAGATCAGAAATGAAAACCTGTGGTGTAATGTAGTTAGAATAAAATCACATTTTACTTTCATTGACAATTTAGTGCTGGTATATATTGAAGACCATGAGATGTTTAACATCTAGTTTGAGAGCTTTTTCATTTGTTCTCAGTATGCAGTTATCACTGGCTGGGCCAATATTTACTGCCCATCCCTAATTACCCGGGAGAAGGTGATGGTGAGCTGTTGTTTTGAACCATATAAATCTGTGGGTGTAAGGATGTCCACAGTGCTAATAGGGAGTTTGATCCAGTGACAGTGAAGGAACAGTATTGTAGTTTCAAATCAGGATTGTAAGGAGTTTGAAAGGGAACTTGGAGAAATTGGTATGTTGTATGCATTCAGATTCACCAAGTCCTGTCAACACATCACCTCTATTTCACATGCCCACTGGTTCTCGGTTAAGCTATGCTATGATTTTTGAAATTCTCATGCTCGTTTTAAAATTCCTGTGTGGTCTCCAACCTCCCCGTATCTGTAAAGTCCTCCAATCTTCCAAGATATGTGTTCTTCTGATTATGACCTCTTCAGCATCCCTACTCTGAACTGTCATTAGTGCTTGGTCTTCAGCGGTCTGGTCCTGAGCTTTGGCATTACTTCTTTAAACCTTTTTAGCCTATTACCTCACTTTGGAACCCCCTTAAATCCTACTGCTTTGATAAAGCTTTTGATTGCTTAATTTTCTACATGCTGTCATTATAGAATTGAATGTTCATGTCAATTGTCAACGTGTTAAAAGCACTATGTAAACATGGATTGTTCAAATGATTTTGTTAGCATTTAAGCAACATATTGCAACATCTTACAGTAAACCCAGCATCCTTCTAGTGACATCAAGGATATGTTTATGTATAAGGAATGTTCACCAGCAATATACAAATTCAGCAATCTTAACGCCTGGTAATGATAGATCTCAGATCTCTAATCATATGTATTCCCTCTTGAAACATAACATTGGCAAAGGATATTCAACCCCTCAAGCCTATTCTGCTATTCTAGATCACACCTGATCATCAAACTCCATGTCATAATCCAGCACACTTTCTTCTCAATGTCATCAGTAACTAGAACATGAGTATCTACATCCCTCTGGGCTCAAGAATTCTAAAAATATATATCACCCTGCTTGAAGGCATTCCTCACCTTAATTGGAAATGACCTGCCCCTTATTCTGAAGGGGTTTTCCCTGATTAATTAACCCCAGAGCAAAGGAAAAATCCTTCAACTTCAGAATAATGAGCTAATCACAATTGAAATTTAATAAATTCCAGAAAACAGTTGCAAGTCAAGTCTCCAGGTTCTGATAGATTTCATCTTGGTCTTCAGACAGGTCAAATGAAATCGTGGTGTAGGGAAATAACATACAAGACTGGCTGACAATACAGTATGCATAAATGAGAGTGGTGTTCTAAAGGGGTCTGTGCTGAAAAATCAAAGGCATTGTGGCTAAATTTGCCAATGAAGTTGAGAAAGTAAAGTATTGGAAGAATAACAAACTGCATCAGTATGCAGCTTTGAGTGGACCAAAATCTGAGATGGGAAGACTGTCTCTTTCTCAGGGAGAAAGAGTGAGCATTAGGTGGAATAGGTCAGTGGGACAATTCAGATCTTCATTATTTTGTACCTGTTCCTAGGAAAAGTGTCCAGCTCTGGAGGCCTGCAGTTGAATGAATTAAGAATCCAATGACCATGAATCTATTGTCAACTGTTGAAAAAAACCCTTGTCCTTTATAGAAGGAAACTATCATCCTTACCTGGTCTGGGCTATATGTGACTCCCAGACCCCAGCAATGTGGTGGACTTAACTGAGGGCAGTTAGGGATGGACAATAACTACCCACCTGGCCTGTGACATCCTCGTCCCTTGAATGCAAATTTTATTTTAAAGTAGCAGTGTCTGATCAACTCTGCAATTACACCACAAGAAAATGCCCAACGCTACTTGCAGTTCTCTAAACATATGCTTTATTAAAGCAAGTTTCAAGCAGGCTCATTCAGTTGAAAAAAATCCATTGTAATAGTTTAGATCATAGAATAAAATGAGGAAAATCAAACTGATTCTGTAGCAGCAGTCCATAACATGTTGCTGTAACAACACGGTCACAATACAAAGAGGAAGGTTGTTGCAATAAAAAGATCACATATGGAGTAGTGTACAGTTCACTTCTCCAATCTATTGCATTGATAATTGACATTAATCTGTTAAACTTTGAACAATACAATGAAATGAAAGGATTGAAATTAGATAACTGGGTACAAACTTTAATTCAAAAATTAAATCTTCACTCCAAAATTGTACGTGTGAAAACATCAAGTAATACACTTATTTAATCACAGGTTTCTCAACTGCTTGTCAGCTTGCTTTAAAGAAATCCAAGTACTCAACATGTTTGCCCGCAACTTTGCCCACACCAAGTGATTGAACTGACCAAAGATCTGAGCAGCAAAAAGGGCAGCTGCTTCCGGAAAAAGGACAGTGGAACAGCCAAGACCTGGGGGGAAAAGAAAAGTGATGCATGGTATAATTTAGAAAATAAATACAGGCAGCACACCAAAAAGCCCAGTAGCCCAACCTCCTTCAATACACGTTTACTTCTGCACATCTTCTTTGAAAGGCAAAGTAATTAAGCAGCACTCAATACTGAAGTTATCCACTTGGAATAGCTGGATCAATAAATGGTGATTAAAAGCACAAATTCTGAGTCCCGAATGTTTGATTCAAATTCTGGCTAATGATGCAAATGGAGTTACACTGAATAGAAGTTGGGGTGGGATGGAATGAAGTGTTTTGGCCTGGATATTCTGAAACTTGACAGTTCTTGAAGCTCCACCCATCCAAGAGACTAATGAATACTAAGCTGCTTTACTTTTGGAGCAACTGTCAAAAAAAAAAAGGACAGTTCCACTGTTGGAAAGAAGAGTTGATAAAACAGCTGAAGACATCACCCGAGGCAAGTTGTGACCACTTGTCTCCAAATGCAACCAGTTTCTTTTGCAGCAAACACAGCTTAAGCCATTTGCAAATGTTACCAGACCACTGAATTTTTTTTTAAAACCCCAAAACTCAAGGACACTGAAGAAGTCAAAGCAACGTCTGAATTGGACAAACTTTCATATTCACACAGCAGTTGGACGTGTGTTGTGTAGGAAACAAACAGGAAATAAAAGGACCAGTGGTGGCATAACTGCCACAGATAGTACTGAAAATATTGGAAGAGTTGCAGAATATAACTACCCTTGGGTGTATCCCATTTAGCATGGTGGTAATAACTACACGTAGCTATCAGTTTGCTGAGTTGGCTGGAAAGCTCATTTGCAGTACAGTGACACCAACAGCATGGGTTCAACACTGGCTGAGGTTATGATGAAGGACCTTCCTTCTCAATCTCTAAAAGTAGCGGTGACCCTCAGGTTAATTAAACAACCAGTTTTCTCTTAATAGAGAGTGTAGACTTTATCTTGTCAGGAGCTGACTACTTGACAAATATTGAACAATTATGGACAGACAAATCTGATGTGTGGGTAGGGGACAAAAGGTTAAATAGATTTTGTTTATTAAATTGAAAGCACATATCAGACAGGTGCATTAAAAAAATAGTCATCATGTTGCAGAACTTACCACTAGGCATGCGGAGTGATGACCAAACATCTTCAGCACCCCAATCAGCAGAAATGGGAGGACAGTTTATTACAGGACAAGTGGAGTTTCCAGACAGCACTGGTCCTAAACCATTACTTCTACCAGCAACTGCAACAAATACAGTCTGAACTCCATCACCTAAAAAATTCAAAAAATAAATACAGGTGATCTAGACAAAAATAATTAACATTTTAAATTCCAATTCAAATGCAATATTAAGCAGATAAACAAATAGAAGATAAATGTGTACAGAACTAAAGAATTAATCTAATCAGAAACCCCTGCTATCGTCTGCCTCCCAGACACCAAAACTTTTCAGGTGCAGAAGAATAAGACTTGAAAACAATCATATATATAAAAACCAAAATCAAGCCTTGGAAATAGGAACTGACATCTATTTGCAGGCAAGCTATAACTGTGCTGCACATTTCCATTACTGCCATAAAGGGATAGAAAGGTAAGGTATCATCTTTAACAGCTCTGTCTGGGCAGTTTATTTAAGAGATGATTGTCCAGAAAAAGAAAGTAATTAAAATATGCAGAAGAAAATTACATAGCACAGATATTCACAGCAGCCGTACTGGACAGAAGACCAGTTTGAGCACTAATTCTACATCACAGCAACACTGATGGAGGCCAAATGTTTTCCATAGCTAAGCCCCGTTCCATCCCTCTTGTAAAGTTAAGCCAGGCATTTTAAAAGTGTTTCAAATGTAATGAATTTTGCTTATCACATTAGTGGAGAATGCCATCAAAAAAGACAATACTCCTCTTTATACTAATCTAAATCAAATTATAGACACTAAATCACATGGATTGCAATAGAGGTCCCAGAAGATCACGTGTATTGCACGTGATTGCGTTTTTGGAACATACAAGTCATCTTCTTTTCAAACATCCCAGCTAAGTTAGCTGTCTTGACAAGCAAAAATAATCTTGAGTTCAACCAGATCAACTTGAAAAGATTAAAGGCATTTGGGAACAGATCCACATGTTTTAAAATCGTAAAGATGCCCGGCATTTTTAAAAAAAAGTCAGTTTTTCAGGGAACATGTGCATGTTTTACATCATACTCAAATGCTCTATGAATATATTGCTCTTTTTGTTGCACTTTAAGAGTCAAGTTCAAAATGAGCAATCATTGCATCCAGACACTGGAAAAGCACAGTGAACTTGAATTCTCCAAATCAGTGTCAGCTTTTAAGAGCTGCACAGGTTGGGAGACTATAAACTGGCAAAAGCGTGATGTTATTTATAATATTCAACATTAAATTCATTGCCTTATTTCAAATTCTACGGAGCATAAGGTTGAATTTAAGCATGGGCACAATCTGCCATCTGGTTGAAAGTCATGCAAGTGTGCACAACTTGTTTTTGTTATTATTCAGGTTGTACTGTAGTCAAAGATTAATCAGATCAAGCACACTCTTACTGAATGGTAAGAATGAGAGGCCTATTCCTGCTCTTAATTGGTTTGTATGATCTTCTAAAAACGAGTACAAACTGCAATATTTCAGTACTGCTTTTCAGCATTAAAACCGCAATCCTGGATATAGTCAACAGTGGTAGCTTGCTTTAAATTTGTGACAATATAGTTAGATAGTTGGAAGTGAAGAAAAAAGCATGTTTTGTGAAAAAAAAATTAGGATTGTCTAGTTGACCCAACTGTAAGTAACTGAAAATGACTAAGCAATACAGATCAAATAGTTTATAGAGTGTACTGTAGTGTGTTTAACAAAGTTAAACGGTTTTTATTCATGCATCCAAAAAACATTCACCTTAAGAGCCTTCTTAAAGGCTACACACCAGTGCAATTCAAAGTAATTTATCATGGTCATCGGAGGACTTATTTATAGTCCCTTTTGTGATAACACTCCAAAACATGCTGACTTTTATTTTAGAAAAAAGAATTTCATTGCAAACAATGTTGTATTTAGAAATCTCCGCAGTCAATATGCACACAGCAAGTTCGCAAACGTGATCAACACCAAATATTTACTAAAAAAAAAATCCAACAACTGCGGATACCGAAAGTCAAACGAAAACAGAAACTGCTGGGAAAATTCAGCAGGTTTCGCAGCACCTGTGGGAAGAAAGTCGAGTTAATGTTTTAGGTCCAGTATCCCTTCTTCAGAACCTTGTTTCTCTGCTTACCTTCATATTCTGCTTTAATCTTTAGTGTTTCATCTGTTCCTTTATGAGCGGATGAAACACGTAGTTCACATGGTATACCATAGTTTGCACAAGCTTGTTTAATTTTTTGGCTGTGGTCAAGATCACTACGGGATCCCATAATCACTACCACTCTTCCAGAGGTCTTTGCCACCAGCAAGTCCTAGGTGGATATTTAAACAATGGCAAAGTCAATTTTTAAAAAATAATTTAGTGAATTGGCAAGACTATACCCATTAGAAAGAGAAAAAGAAATATCAGTCAAGTGAATCTGGTCTTTATAAAAATCCCAGCAGATTTTAGGCATAAACAACAAAACTGCCCTACCATTTCAATACAAACAATCTTGAGTCACAGTCTGAGTTATTATGTAACGTGGTGTGAAGGAATGCCATGAGACCATAAGGAACAAGGGAACAGATATTATTAAGGATATATTAATTAAGATTTAATTGGGTATGAATTGGTTGTATAAATATGGGGGGCTAGTAATCAGTGGGGCGAGAGTTTTATGGGTTATGACTAACTGAAATTAAGCTTTTATTGAAAGTGTGGATTTAAATATTTTGGGCACAAGTAATGTGAAACATTCTACTCAAGAGTGGATTTGCAGCCTACATTGGCAGAACAAGCTATAATTTTACTTAATAGGGTAGATATAGAAAAAAAGATTCTGGGTAAGAAGTAAACAAACTTTTGGGTAGGAGTATAAAAAAAAACCATAACAATTTTATAAAAAACGTAAATCATTCCAAATCAATCCCTATAATTTACTCCTTATCCCCCATCTTCTACATAAAAACCACTATTTTCCTAGCCATCAGTTCTGAGGAAGGGTCACTGGACCCAAAACATGAACTCTGCTTTCTCTCCACAAATGCTGCCAGACCTGCTGAAATTTTCCAGCAATTTCTGTTCTGGTTTCAGATTTCCAGCATCCACTGTTCTTTCACTTTTTAAAATCACTTCAGTTGTTTAGATATGTTCAAATGGTGAGTTCTCTCATTTCTCAGCACGTGGTTTACTTACTGTTACTTTTTTGTATCTTTAATGTCTTTAGAATCTTGGGTCAAAGAGAAAGCAGCCACAGCACCAGGTGTTAGGAAGGTAGGACGCAAACTTTGAAAAAGTGGAAGTGGGCTCAGCATCAAGCATTACAACAAAATGAAAAATAGTTTGGTTCACTCAGACTGGGGCAAGTTCCAAGGATGATGGCTTTAATCATCTCAAAATTACTAAAAGAAATATGAAGCCTCAGGTTGACATACCGATAACCCATGAAGATCTGTATGAATGAGGGTTATTTACTACTTCAGTTAGTCAGTGGCAGCAGTAATAGAGCCAGTTTCAGACTTCTTTTGACAATACCTGCACTCTTTCTGCCACCCACTCAAAGTTTCTCTTAACCATTTGTATGGCTTCAGGTGTCACTTCTTTGAGATCACGATAAACCTGAAAAACAAAATAATGACAGCAGTTCCACAACCAACTGAACGGAAGTTTCTATCATCCTTGGAAGAACAGTCTCCAATTTCTGCCAACCTCAGATATTATCTCTGTAGAAAAAGTATTTTTAAAAGTTTAAAAGATATTTTCATGATAGAACAGAGATTCCCAAACTTTTTCCCAAATACAACCCCATCTTGGTGGTCAAAAATACCAATCCATTTACATGAATGGGAGTTGGAAACTAACAGAACTAATTACCATTTCTATCGGAATACAATGCTAATGCATTTCAAGTTGCCATGGGGAAAAGAAGGAATTCACGTTTAAGAGGAGGTCACAGGCTTTGTTGTATAAATCCACATATATCTCAGATACAGCAGTTGTGATTTGGTGTGTTCTACAGCCATCCAAGAGCTGTACAGCTGAAGATCAAGAGATCACATCACTCCGTGTTGTACGCAGCAGCAGAGAAAATGCTATGTTCCAACATGCAGAATGTGAGCAAGAGCTCATGCTCAAAAAAACAGAAGGCTGAATTTGTGCGAATTTAAAGGAGACTAAGATTAACCTAGCCTGGAGCTAGAGGGAAGGAATTTACATAATGTAAGCCTCAGTGAAAGTCCTGGAAAAGTAAGGGAAGCAACCCATTGGAAACTGGTAACAATTGCTGACTGAGATAGTAGGAACTGCAGATGCTGGAGAATCTGAGATAACAAGGTGTAGAACTTCTTCAGGGTAGGCATCCTTAGAAGAGGCTTCGTAGGTGGGTGGGTCTAGGCCCTAAACGTCAGCCTTCCTGCTCCTCTGATGCTGCTTGGCCTGCTGTGTTCATCCAGCTCTACACCTTGTTAACAACTGCTGACTGTTTACTATAATGAACTGTAACTCGGAGGAGAGTGACAGGAGACAAGTATATGAAGCAAATATTTGTAGGTCAAAGAAAAAGTCTGTTCAATAGGCTTAGTAAAAGAATTTAAAACAAGAATAAAAATTTTGCCCCATCATTATTTCACCTAATAATTGGAAGGTCAGATTTCTTCAAAACATGATTATAATTTCTGTAGTGATAGACAGAGGTCCATCCTAGGGAGACAACAGTACCTGCATATCTAAGTTGCAGGCTAAAGAGTTCAAGGTCCAGCATAATAAATTTTACCTCTGCGATACAAATCGGACAACCTGATGACAACAGGAATCAGAAGAGGCCAAGTCCAAGTTCACATACTGTACTAAATAAAAACTGAAAGAACTGTGGATGCTGTAAGTCAGGAACAAAAACAGAAGTTGCTGGAAAAGCTCAGCAAGTCTGGCAGCATCTGTGAAGAATAAAAATTTAAAAATCAGTTAACGTTTCAGGTCCAGTGACCCTTCCTCAGAACTGATCTTAGCTGGGAAAACATCAGTTTATCTGCAGAAAATAGGGAGGTGGGTAGGGTGGGGAGTAAATAATAGGATAGAGCCCAAAGAGAACAGTTGGACAGACAAAGGAGTTGTTATGTGACAATGTGTTATCACTTAGCCTGCCATTACACACCACTTGTTGTTAGTCACTAACAGTCCCCATCATCAACTATTCATCCTTCCAGACGAATCGTTATCAACTCCTTTGTCTGTCCAACTGTTCTTCTCTCTTTAGGCTCTATCCTATTGTTTACTCCCCACCCCACCCCTCTCCCTATTTTCTGCATATAAACTGACGTTTTCCCAGCTACCATCAGTTCTGAGGAAGGGTCACTGGACCCAAAACGTTAACTGATTTCTTCCTCCCAAATGCTGCCAGACCAGCTGAGCTTTTCCAGCAACTTCTGTTTTTGCCACTTATTGTACTTTTTCAGGACATAGTAATTTTACACGGAGTCTGATAACTCTATCAAACTTTACAGATGCTGAGGCTTTATATTTAACCGTTTCTCAGAGGCTTTCCTTCCTAACTGCGGAGATAAAACTTAATTTGAAGTCAATCCATGTTCCACCCCCACAAAAGAAAACACACCTGTTTGTCCTTTTGCAGTTTTCGATCCCCCTGAGGCCATAGTCTCCATGAGTCATTGTCAATGACATCTGCAAGTAAAATCTCCCTGGTACAAGCACAAACTCCAAATTCTACCTGGTAAAAAGGAATGAAAACCAAATTATTTCACTAGAAGAAATCAATACTACTTTACCTGTAAAAAGTTAACAACTTACTTTCATATCCACCAGAGTACAGTCTTGAGTGGCCCATGCCTTCTCCAATATCTCAAACACAGCCAAAGTGGTATGAGTCATGATGTCTACTTCACACTGTTCAATCTGCAATCCCCCACAGTTAAATTGCGCTTGAATTAGTTGTTCTTCAGACCACTGTGGATCGTTGTTAGCATCATCCTAAAAGAAAAGCTCTCGATTTATGAAGATACAGGAACTAGGAGACAAAATTGTGATCGTAAAGCACGAGATTGAGATTTAATCATTTGAAAAGGTTATTTTTGCATGGAAACAAGAGGTTTATTTTGCTCAAAAAAATCTTATGATTCAGTTGGTAGCGTGCTCTGAAGATTCAGATCATGGGTTCAAGTCCCATTCCAGAATCTTCAGTTTAAAAATAACTCGCTGACAAGCTTAGGCAAGATAGATCAAAGGATGCCCACTTTGAAGAAGATCTCTTGCCTCCCTCAGAAGTGAACCTAGGGAGTCCCTTTCTCACTGCCACACTGCTGTGACCTCCAGCCCTTCAAGCACACCTTGAAACAAACCTGCTACTACAGCCACGTGACCTACCTATTTACCCCTCCCATCAACCAAACAGGTCATACCAACTACCAGTGTCCACTTTTCCGCCTCCATCCCTCCCCCCACTATCTGCACCCTAACCCCCACACCCAGTCCTGAAGAGTATAGCCAAACCGTTGACCATTCCTTTCCCCCAGATGCTGCCTGGCTTGATGTGTTCTTCCAAACTCATTTGTCCGCCTTAGATTCCAGCATCTGCAGTTTCTGTCTCTAAAGAGTTGTTACCAATTGCTGAAGATACAGGAACGAGGGTACAAAATTTCATGATCTTAAAGCACAAGATTGAGATGTGTAATGCATGATGATTTGCATTTGGTTTTAAAATTTCAGGGAATGTAGGCATTACTGCCTATTACTGATTGCCTCGAAGGTGGTGAAAGTTGCCTTTTTGAATCATTGTGGTCTTTGGGGTGTAGAAACACCCACACCATAGTTAGAGAATGTGTTCCAAGATACTGAGCAGCAATAGTGAAGGCATGGCAATACAATTCCACGTCAGGATTGTGTGCAACTCGGAACCCAAGTGGTGGTGTTCTTATGTCAACTACTCGTTCTTCTAAGAGGTAGTGGTCAAGGGTTTGGAAGAAGGTGTATTGGAGGATCTGTGGAGACTTACTGCAGGCAGTGCATCTTGCGTATGCTACATACTACTGCCACCGTGTATCAGTGGTGAAGAAAATGAATATGGAAAATGTGGATAGGGTGCCAATCAAGTCAGCTGCTATGTCAGAGTGTTGCTGGAGCTGCACTTAGCTAGGCAAGCTTTCCATCATGCTCCTGACTCGTGCCTTGAAGATGGTAGCCATGCATGTGTCAAAAGTGGCGTTATTCAATGTAAAATAAACAGCCATTAGCCTACTCTTAGACTAGCAGGTGGTCCCATTTATTTTTCTGGTCACTGGTAACCCTGAAGATTTTTGGGCGGGCGGGGGGGGGGGCGCGCGCAGAAAGCAGGTGGTGATATTAAGTGGGGGGAAGAAAATTTCAGCAATGGTAATGCCATTGAACATCAAGGATCAATAGCAGATTCTCTTGTTCATAGCTGTGCATGGTGCAAATCGTACTTGCCACTTATCAGCTCAAGGCTGGAGGTTATCCACTTTGTGATGCAAGCGTACATGGACTATTCAGTATCAGAGAAGCCCTGAATGGTGTTAAACATTTTGGAAAGTTTGCACATTTGATTTTATGATGGAGGGAAGGTCACTGCTGGAGTAACTGAAGATGGTTAGGTCTAGGATACCACAACGAGCGATTTCTGCAGTGAAGTCTTTAAACTCACAACCCCAACCATCCTCCTTTGTGCTAGATATGTCTCCACCACCCTGTGCCCATATCTCCAACATCAAAAGATGCTAATCTTCAGCCATTAGAAGGAAGCTAAGACTTCCCCATCATTGATAATGGGGACATTTATGGAGCTTGTTAGTCATTTAACTGCTTGTCATCATTTGTGACTGGATTGGCAGGAATGCAAAGCTGACACTTGATCAGTTTGTTGCAAAAAACGAAAAAAAAAACCAACAACACCCTTCATTGAGCCAGGTTTAATGAAAGTGGTTTGATAAGGTTACGTTGTGGTCATGAGGTTACAGGTTGTATTCCACCACAATTCTCCTGCTGGCCTCATGTGTGCTCAGTTTTAAGTTACCCAAAGTGTTCAAGTCTGTCCCTTTTAGCACTTTTAACCTTTTTAGGGTTCTGAGGAAGGGGCGCCAGATCTGAAACATTAACTTTGCTGTTTTCTTCAGATGGTGCCTGACCTGCCTCAGCTTTTCGAGCAACTTCTGTTTTTGTTCCTTTTAGCACAGTGTTGGTGCCATACAACATAATGGACAATATCCTCAAACATGATGACAGGACTGGTATCCATGATAGTATTTTGAGTGACACCAAGAAGTCATTCTCAGATGACTTTTTGGTGCCACTCAAAATACCATCATGGAGTGATATACCTGCGACAAAGTTAACTTTTAATGAGGTTAAAATAGTTTTCTTCTTCCCCCTCATTGGTTCATTGAGCTGCAGACCTGCCAATCTTGCTGTTGAATATGACATCTCCCAACCAAGATACGTTTTCTGCCGTTACCACCCTCATTACTTCTTTCAAAGTGTTCAAAATTGAGGGACACAGACTGAGCCGGGGCTGCACATGCTTGTCATCGTAACATTTTCCAAGCTAGTGTTGTCCAGATCCCATAAGACTTCGGAGTTCACTGTCAATATTCAGATTCCAAAAGGCAACTCTCTCTCCAGCTCTGTATCATTGTGCAACCACCCAATGAGTTTGTCCTGCTAGTGGACAGGATGTAGCCAGAAATGGTGGTTCTTGACTGTCTGTAATATGGCATACACAGTTTTGACACAAGACCCCAGCTGCCTTGCTTACAAAACTAGAGAAGCTGAAATGATTAATGATTTCAAGAGGGATACTAGAGATGGATGGAAAAGCAAAGTTTTGTTCATACAACTAGAAAGTGGTAATAAACACCTCAACCACATCAAAATTGATAGCAGCAAGAGTGTTACAGCTACCTTAAAGAACATCTCCATCTTTGGAGGACAGAACTTGTATCCTTCCTTTACACCAGGATTTCTCTTCAGAAAAGAGCCAGTGGCAATTCTTCTACAGACCCACTCAATAGGAATCATTTGACAGTTTGCTGCCACAAATGCTGTTTCCCCATACTGTTTCTCAAACGCAGTCTTTATGCCTTAAGAGAAAAAAAAACATTAACACAAATATTACAGAAGAAGTTGCACATCTCCTGCCAGATGTCAGTAGCAAAAAAGTCTTACCAGCATCCTGCAGCAGTTTGAAGATAGAAACAGTGGTTTTAGTAGATATCGCAGCCTTGCCCACCATCTGATCTTTCCTGACTGCATTTCCAGCTGTAATCTGGTCCTTGGACTGAATCAGAACTTGCCCTGGACAATCCAACAGTTCATATACTTCCTTGGTCTTTCCTTCATTCAGTTTTTTTCCAATTTTCAGCTCTTTAGAAAGTAAAAGCAATGTTTAAAACGTGAAAGCATTCACTTTTAAACCAGGTGAACATTTTTAAATTGTTGACTGGTTTAAAAAGTGGAAAAAAAAGCATTTTTTTTAAAATCACAAGGCTGAATGTAATAACATATTACTGAGTTTTCAACAAAAGAAATTCATCTCGGAAGCACTGACAGATGAATAGCAACAATGCAATTACAACCGAGGGTCTATTGGTCGTTTTATTTTATGCGGTACAACTTCGAAACAGTGGTTCCAATCCTCTCTTTACGAGATTTTAGCACCGTAAATACTGTAGTAGAGCCGTCAAATAAAAGCGGTCGCGGTTAAATGACGAGATGTTATTGGTTAATCCAAGAGAGAACTTCTAAATTTTACTCACCTCCAAACTTCTCCATCTTGGGAAAACTTTGCAAGTCTACAACTTTAAAAAAAAAAGTATTTAAATTATTTAAATAAGCAAAACATAAGCCACTAAAATCAAGTTATACACCCAAACCTACGCAGTACAAACCCATCCTTCATTTCACTCTTCATAATTACGAAAAAAGATGCCTCCAGTCCTGGCGTTGTATTTATACAAAAATCATCGTAAACCGCACTGCTGCATTATTAGCAACAATTAGGTCAAGAGTGCTTGACTAAAACAACACATGCAGAGATTCTGGTGGCGACTCAGCACACAAGCTGCAATTCACAAACAGGCAACAGGGCGCAATGTGCTTTCCACAGAATGCAGCCTCTTTCTCCACCGACCCCGGTGTACACCTCAATGATCCCTTTCCCCAGCGAGGGGTTGCCCACCCTCCATAGATACCCCACACACTCCCACTACCGTCTCCTTGTTTCTCCACCCCGAGAACCTCATGGCTATGTACCCACACACCAGGCCGAAATCTCCTACCGTAGGCCCCTCTCACGATCTTGTGCTTCTAACCGCCGCGCGTTCGGTTTTAGAACGTTCCGAAGTTTGAATGAGATGTACCAAGACGAGAGGGATAAGGGGAGTGGCGAAGAGTCAGCAATAAAAGGAACACGTTTGCATAAAGAAGGGACGGCATATATATATATATATATAACAAATTGATCATCAGTTTCTAACGTTCACACATGATAAGTTCTAAAAACAACGACAAATTATTTATATGCATACATGTACTTATTTTACACACCCACGACGTTTTGGAGCGGTCCGTGAGAGGTGGGGGTGGCGGGAGTAGCGAAGCACGTGTTGATTCCTGGGAGCTAGGGAGATAAAGAATGAGAGTTAGGTAATGAGGTGGGGGGAGTGAGTGTATTACTTTAAAATAGTTAGTCTGGTAGTGGATGGGTTGGGGTTTTGTTCACCCACTTATCGTTGAGGTAGCTAGTGTGGAACTGGCATGGAGTTTGAAGAATCGGGGATCCGGGAGGAGTGTGGCGTGTTTGGTTGCGTCGCTGCTGGCGAGTGGCCGACTCACTTGGACGTGCCTCATGTTATCGCCCTCGGGTTGGTGGCACTGCAGCACAGGTAACACTGAGATAGCAGGATCTCCTGCTGCAGCCTAGGCAGCACAGATTCCATCCACAAATACAGAAACATTATGATAACTGGAGTTCTGCTGGAGTTGTTGGTTCTGCTATTACTTATAGTAAAACGTAGGGTAGTTTCATCTTGGTGTAGGATAATAGGTCGGCACAACATCGTGGGCTGATGGGCATGCATTGTTCTATGTTCTTATGGATCGGGAAGGCACTAAACTGGGCAGAGAAAAGTGCTGTACTGACTTAACATTTTCTAAGCACACTGTTTAACAATGCAGAAATGCCATAAGGAGGTAGAGATTTAAAAATGATGCTGGAAACATATAGTAGTTTCTCCTTAAAACCCTAACACTATCACAACTTCTGTGGAGTTCTCTGTCTGCCATCAAAAATCTTGCTTTATGATACTGTTTATATCGAGACACACGCCGCTGATTTTTTTTTTTCTGTTTATTCTCCAGGGGAAAATAAAGCACTCCCAACAATTTAGTATAATTATCCTCGAATTATTTCTGTCGCACAGGAAATGTTTAGCTAAAGTAGTCAATCTGAAGTAACAAATTTCATCAACCTTTACATATTTGTCAGTACGTTCGTTTAATTCAACATTGAGTTCTAAAAAACATATTCGGGAGTTTCTTATCTGATCAGTACTCTGTATTTTAATATGCCAGTAAGTTGTATGAAAAAGAAATGAATGAAATGTCGTTGATGAGAAGTTATTAGAGTTCTGTATTTGGATGAGATGTGTATTTATAACTATTTTTTGTAATTCTCCAGAATAATGTTCTTACCAAATAAAAACTGACAAAAACAAATTGCTGGAAACGTTCAGCAGGTCTGGCAGCATCTGTGGAGACATCTGATCATTTCTGACCATATCTTCTGCTGAAATCCCCTAACCATTCTAGAACTACAGAATGTATAGCTCCTAAGTTCATTCAGCCCAACTGGTTAGTCCATTCTAGTCTTTGTTGCTTACAAACTCCCTCCTACGCCCCCACAACTACTTCTAACCCTTTCAGTATATCACAAACTTATACTTAAATAGTTTCTCCTTAAGTTGATCCTTACTGTTTTCATCAATTACTTTAGTAAATTCCATACTCCTGACCATTCCCTAGTTTCTGCTGCATTTCTATGTAATTCTGTTCTGAAAATAAGTTGACTAGAATATATCTCTAACAGGCACAGATTTGATCAAGTTGGCATTGTGCATAAGCTGATGTAGAAGCAGAATCTTAAATATCCAAACTGTAAGAACAATTCAAAAATGGTCCTCGCACAAATTATTTTTAATTGTCTAATGCAAGAAATTCATTTTCTAGCTGTCTTTGAAAACTCAAATGTAGCATACCACTAATTAAAATAACCTATTTAAATCTGATGTTGATTTTTATTTTACTTTTTTCGAAGCTCACTGTAAAATCAATGGGCATTTGGAAGGCTATTAATGTCAATGCAATTGTGACAAATGTTGGCTAGCAATTATGCTTGGCCTGTGTTCCAGAGTGCATCACATGTAATATATGCTACAGAAGCTATACTGTTTTAAAATTTATTGATAGAATAAAACAACACTGACTCCCATCTGATGCTTAGTTTACAATATATGGGATACTCACTAAAAAGATCCTTTGCAAGGTTCCTCTAGTAAACGCTTTACACGTTATATGCAATAGAAAAACAGTATCATCAGCAGTAAGGACTAAATTATCTTATCAATTTGGGAAAGAGACTTTTTATTTATTGATTTATGGGTTCTGTGCATCACTGGCTCAGCCAGCACTTTTTACCCAACCCTAACTGCCCTTGAACTGTGTGGCCTGCTAGCCAATTTCACTGGACAGTTAAGAGTCATCCACGTTGCTGTGGATATGGAGTCTCATGTAAGCCAGAATGGGTGATGATGGCAGATTCCCATTTCTAAAGGATGCTAATGAGTCAGATGGGTATTTATGACAAACAATGATTGTTACATAATTGCTATTAGACTAATTTTTAATTTTTGTAATCAAATTTGAATTTTGGCACCTGCCATGGTAGAATTCAAATGCATAGCCTCAGAACCTGAGTCTAGGAACTCTGGATTGCTAATCCAGTTACATATATAACGTGGTACTTATCGACCTATTTGAAAATTGGGTAAAATGGTTGGAGTATTATGTTGGATCCTTGGGGAAATCAACACCTGGAAAGGATTCTTTATAAAAATCAAAAGAACTGCGGATGCTATAAATCAGAGACAAAAATAGAAATTGCTGAAAAACCTCAGCAGGTCTGGCAGCATCTGTGGAGAGAAATCAGTTAATGTTTTGGGTCGAGTGACCCTTCCTCAGATGGATTCTTTATGTTTACCTAATTATAATTCTAAAACATCCATGGTGCCATTCTCTTTCCTGACATCCATTTGAAAGCCTTAAAACTTCTGAAAAACAGCTATAATCTCAAGAACATTTACGAAACATTTTGGTTCAGAGAACTGAAAAAGCAGCTTTAAACAGTGAGTCTTCAGTTATATTGGGCAATTGGAACTTCAGTTGCTTTCATCTCATATGTTTCACTAATGAGTTTATTTTTGCCTGGGAATCTTATGATGGAGATACTTAAGTTCAGAAATCCTGATGAATTACAAATCATTTCACCTTACCATGTAATAATGATTTGACTTACTTCCAGTGATCAGGTTACTCGCAGGTAACCAAATGTTCCTCCATTCAATTTGGATGTGGGCTAGTAGGTTGGGGTTATGTGTTAGAGTTTAATAATTTTAATTTTCTGCCACTCTTTGAGGGGATTAGGTTTGCCCCTTATATGCCCATATGTTGGCTGGTTATTTTGGAAGGAAGTGTTGTGGACATAGGAAAATTGATTTAGATTTTTTAAAATCATACAAACATACAGTAATTGAGTGCAGCTTTAAGAGCAATGATTTATTTAATAATGCCAGTTTTTAAAAACTCCGTTATGTGCATTCTGAAAACATCTTGTTGGAACTTTTTTCTACAAATTCATAACTCAGGATGTGGAATTGGTGTATAAAATCAGAATCTCTAAGATAAATTATTTTTTTAATCTAATTTAAACTGTACATCTATATACTAGATGTTGTGTCTAGTGCGAATTTATAACATCACACCATTCAGAGCGGCAATATTCCCAAAGGGGTGTGCTTTTGAGGTGAAATACCAATTTAACTGTTAAACTTTTTATAATCAAGTATCCACTAAATTTAAAAAAATTAAAAGCGACAAGGAGTGAGTAAAACATCAAAAAGCCATAAAGCTGCAATTTTTTTTCAGCACTGCCATTAGAAACCAGTAAGTCCAGCAAATTAAGTTATTCAAATATTTTCTTCCTCATGCTTTTGGCAGTAACTATCCTTCAATTTTAAAAATGATTACAGATTTTTTCCACGACTGTTGGGGCATTATTTGGAACCAATTTGAGAATTAGCTTAGTGGAACACTCTCTTTTGAGGCAGAGGTTGTGAGCTGAAGCACCACTCTAGAACAGTTTTGAACACATGATCAAGGCTGATATTTCATGATTGCGTTGAGGGTACAGTATGAAGTATTATCTTGTGTTATCATTCCGATGGGGTATTAAACTTACTGCTGGATGAGAAGTGGAGGGAAGTGGCTCACATCTGTTCACCCTGCTAGTAACCACAACAGAGATTTCGGTTCTCTTTATTGCAAGGTTATAACTTTCTCCAATAAAGTTGCAGTTAATTACTTTTTACTTTATGCAGTAAGGAGAAAATCAGAAGATTTTCTTGAGTTAAAGGAAGAAAATGTATTACTTCCAAAACCTGAGAAGAACAGCAATGGCAAGGCCTTAAGTACTTGGCCTGTGTGCAGTCAATTGGACACACGCCCACCGTAGAAAGCCAAATGGGACGCTGTCAAGTACAAAGAAAGATGGAAAAATATGTGGTTTAGAGTCCATTGGTTGTCTTTGAGCTATAAGGTTTAAACCTGAAGCTGAGGTTGCTTATCTTTTTTTGATACATCAGAAATAATGAATGTTGTGTTTATTTGAAAGTTCTCTGTTTCAGAAGCTTAGATGGTTTCTGGGATAACGCTTCTCTGGGAGATCTGAGCCAGTTTCTTTTGAGAAAGACAAGTGGAGATAGCAGCTTTCCTTTTCAATAACTTGTTGGAAGCTCTCAGAACCTCCCTTGAAAAAATGGTCTCATTGTATATTTCCAAGAGGCTTCTTTCAGATGGGGCTGCCTAATGACAGCTGTGGCATCAATTCCTAGCCACCAACATTGTTCCCTCAGCCAGTACTGGGATTAATTTATTATTATTTTGTTGTAGACATTTGGCTGCTGCATTTATAAGCAAGCAATTGTCTGGAATATATTTGAATGTTCTAAGAGTATGAAAGTTGCAATACAAATTTTTATTGTTTAGCTGGACCTTGTATGATTTTCCAGATAATTTATTCGTTATTTATATGATTTGTCATGGGACTTCATCATTCATTGTGAAAAGCTGCTATAGTCTGAGTGCCTTGTGGCAAACTATGTCATCATGATCATATGGAAAATTTCTGAAGCAAAGTCCTCCACCTGAAACATTAATTCACACAGCATCTGCAGTAATTTGCTTCTATGCTGCTAAGAATAGTAAAGGTCCCTACTTAGGTGGGCACACTTTGTAAATAGAAGGATGGATCACGAATGTTGCAGTTTTCTCCCGGTCCTGTCCAGATTAATCTCCAGTGTGGAAAATTAAGTGACCTTATAGAAACTTTCTTATAAGATTAATATAATAAAAAAGCAGTTGGAAATGAAATACCCAAAGAAATACCAAATCACCCACACAACAACCCTGTTATTTTCATATCTTTCTTGAATCTGTCCACATATCTCTTCCTATACCTCCTGCTGACAGCTGGGAGTCTCTAGTACAATCCCACCATTATGATTGCACCCTTCCTGTTCCTGAAATCTACCCGTAATGCCTCACTGCAAGA